CCCACTTTCCTGTGTTGGAATAATCTCTTTCATCACCATCTACAGACATCACTATCAACAAATTCCTGAAGAACTATAGCAGGAGGAGGGCCAGAAAAGAAACAGATAGGCCTGTGTTCTGATGAAGTAGCAGGGGGGAAGGGATGGCATAGCAGAGAGATAAAACCTAAAGGATTCAAACGTGAAGAAGGTCACATAGCACTGGGGGTAGAAGGGCACTAGCACTAGGGTGAAGTAGAATTGCATGTAACCATATATGGGTTAAACCTTGCTTGTTTTTTATTGCTTCTGTCACCTGCTTGCAAGGGTATATAAGGGGAAACCCATTTGTTCTCAGGGCTCAGCCTTTGGACATGAGTCTGCTGAGTCTGTGCCTGCACAATAAAACTTTGCTTCCTTGCCTTAGAGTCCCATGTCTCTGTTTGAGTTTCCTGTAATAGAACCAATTCAAGAGCCACCTCTTTCCTTGTTTCTCCTGGACACAACCTCTTTCTTTCTGAGTTTTCATACAAATTTATTTGCAAATGACTTTCCTCGTGTGTAAATTATTCATTTTTTAAATAAGATACTACTTCAGCAAAGTGATCAAGGTCAACATCAACAGTGACAGTCATATTGACAGTATGTACCCTTAATAAGAAGTAATGAGAAGGGTAATTTACCACTGTTGTTTTCTTCTACAAGCTCATAACTCCAGTCCATCATAAGAAAAACAAAAACCTAACTAACTGAGGGGAGTCCTATAAAATACATTAATCCTCTTCCTCCCTTTACCTGCAACCTGTGTTCAAGAATATGCCAGGTATAACTAGGCATATTCCATCCCATCCCATCTCAGTGTGGTGAGATCTACCGAGGAGTCTTAAAATACTCTATTTCAGAAAATAGACTACAGTCTTAGAAAATACTAATTCTAGCTAAAATTTTAGAAGGACTTTTAAATTGAGAAGCTTGAGAAGTTATCCGAAAGACTAGGCAGTTCCAATGAGGCTCATGGCACATATCCTCGGGGTCCCCCATTACATTGCATGCACATCTTTTGCATTGTCCTCTATCCCAAAGGATGAGCTAGGGAGTATTTACAGACAAGGATCCTGAGAAATAAAGGCCTGAGCCTCATAGTTTTCTGGAGTTATTATGGTTTTCTGGAGTTGTTATGTCTTCATTTCATGCTGTTAGCAATACAAAAATGGCTCTGATTGTTATGTCTTCATTTCATGCTGTTAGCAATACAAAAATGGCTCTGCAAATCCCTTGGGTTCAATTTGCAGAATCATCTTTCAAGTCCAACTACTGACAACACTTACTGAGTGGTACCACCGTGCCAAGCCCTTTGTGTGGACCATCTCCTTAGTCCTCATAAAAACTACCTGAAGAAGTTACTATTCTTACCAACCACATTTTACCATAGAGGAAACTGAGGCACAGGAATGGAAAGAGACCCTCCTAAGTGTTGGGATACTCCCCAAAGGCCCGAGTGTTGAAGGCTTAGTTCCAGCCTGTGGTGTTAATGGAGGTGAGAGAAACTATGAAGTAGGGTTTAGTGGAAGGAAGTTAGACCACTGAAAGTATGTGCTCTTTTTTTTCCTTTTCTTTTTTTTTAATTTTTATTGTTTTATTATTCATATGTGCATACAAGGCTTGGGTCATTTCTCCCCCTGCTCCCACCCTCTCCCTTACCACCCACTCCACCCCCTCCCTCTCCCCCCACTCAATACCCAGCAGAAACTATTTTGCCCTTACTTCTAATTTTGTTGAAGAGAGAGTATAAGCAATAATAGGAAGGAACAAGGGGTTTTGCTACTTGAGATAAGAATAGCTATACAGGGCATTGACTCACATTAATTTCCTATGCGTGTGTATTACCTTCTAGGTTAATTCTTTTTGATCTAACCTTTTCTCTAGTTCCTGGTCCCCTTCTCCTATTGGCCTCAGTTGCTTTTAAGGTATCTGCTTTAGTTTCTCTGTGTTAAGGGCAACAAATGCTAGCTAATTTTTTATGTGTCTTACCTGTCCTCACACCTCCCTTGTGTGCTCTTGCTTTTATCATTTGCTCAAAGTCCAATCCCATTGCTGTGTTTACACTTGATCTAATGTCTGCATATGAGGGAGAACATATGATTTTTGGTCTTTGGGGCCAGGCTAACCTCACTCAGAATGATGTTCTCCAATTCCATCCATTTACCAGTGAATGATAACATTTCATTTTTCTTCATGGCTGCATAAAATTCCATTGTGTATAGATACCACATTTTCTTGATCCATTCATCAAGAATGTATGGACATCTTGGCTGTTTCCATAACTTGGCTATTGTAAATAGTGCTGCAATAAACATGGGTGTGCAGGTATGTGCTCTTGAAGGAGCTATGTGGAGCCCTATACACTCTTCTCTTTGCTTCCCAATTGCCAAGAGGTAAACAGACCTTCTCTGCCATGTGTTCTCACCATGATGTACTGTGTTGCCCCAGGAAGCAACAGGGCCAAGGGGCATGAATTGGAACCCATGAAACTCTGAGACAAAAATAAACCTTTCCTCCTTTTAAGTTGTTTATGTCAGGTGTTTGTCACAGCAATGGAAATCTGACTAACACACCAGGTCACCCAGCTAAAAACAAGGATTCAGGATCTGAAGGCAACCAGCCATAAGCTTGAGTCTCAATAATAGCAAGTTAGTCAGGGCACATTAACTCCATACCAAAATGGTAAATTTAAAAAATCCTACTATTTAAAAAGTATAACCAACCCCCTCCAGGAAAAAAACTTTTTAATAATGAATAAAAATGTTGTGTCAGTGCTACTTTATTTTAGTACAAGCAAATATGCTAGTGAATATAGAGCAAGAGCAGTATCTTCAAATACTGTTCATATAAAGGAATTTGACATCTGTTCAAAATAATCATGACATGGTCTCCTCAGAGCCAGTTTTCCTTTGCCACTGAATTCTGCAAAAGAAAAGAGAACTGTTCAATTCAAATCAATTCATTCTCGGAATCAAGGTAGTCCCAAGGGAAAGTTATTATAAACATGTTTTACAGTTATACATCCATTTGACAAGTCAGAAATGCCTCCATTGTTTTCCCCATAACCAGTCCTTAGGAGACTCATTTCTGCTGTGCCTAATTAGGCCATTAGGTTTACATAAGTGCTATGGACTCCAGGAACATTCCCTCCTCCTTCTCCCCCTGAATTTGCTGGGTAGCCTGAGTACAGCCTCGGGACAATGGCCTCACCTTCCTGGGACCAAATCCTCATGAGTGACAGAGGAGGCCCAGAACTACCTTTGTGTGTGGACCTCCTCTTCCACAGGCCTGAAGGCCAAGAAATCTGCCCATCTTTAAATTCCGGGTCTTAGAGCGCCATTGAATAAAGGATACAACCTTGCCTGGCTATACTCAGAAATGTCTCCATTGTAAGGAGACTGGTGGCCTCCAGGGATTCCTTGGTATACCACCACAACATACCAAGGTGGCTTTTTCCTCATCAGAGGGGCCAAGTACAAAGTCAGAGAGCACAGATGGGCTGCACAGAGCTTTCATCACTATCATAGTTCCATCTAAACACAACATACCTCCCAAGAGCCAGGCATGGAAGCAAAGCCTGTAAAGTTGCCTGGACTAGCCCTCCTCTGCCAGCTGGGCTGGGAGTCTCTATGGTGCTATAAGCAGGAGGATGGGGCAGAGTCCTTTCTTTGAACAGTGTCTCCCCCAGCTGCCTCTCATCCCCCTATTCAAGTCAGACACATAAATTTATTTAGAAAAGAAAAGCTGCAATGAAGCTGACCTTGTACTATCTACTGAGTCTTATCTTCAATATTTCTTCCATTCCTTGGCTGAAAAAGAAGTGGATGACTTTAAGATACTGAGACACAGTGCCTAGAGCTGTATCCTGATTCAATTCCTCTCTCTGTTGAGCCTGGTTCTTCTAGCTGGGATTTCACTTTTGGCCTTTGGAAACCCTTATAGGTCTTCTGGGACAGTGTCTAGGGCCCTTGCTGCTCCCAGGACACTGACACTGTCCCCTACCTCACCACCTTCTCCCTTAACCTTTGTTCATATGGTGAGACCTCAAACCTTCCATTGCAGGAATTCTTAGCCTACAGATGGCATGAAGATCTATTGCTTCTCAAAGTACTTTCCAGAGAATAACTCACGTCCTGGAATCGAATAGGAACATGAACTCTGGTTTGCCCAGAGTCTGTCCAACAGCAGAACTCCTCCCTTGCCCCCCAGGCTCCTAGCACTCTGGTGCTCTCAGCCTAGGTTCTATTGGACTCTTTCCTTTGCAAGTTTGTAGGAAGAGATTTTGATTGAGCTACCTCCCAAACAGATATAAGGAAAGTCCCCAAGTGGCCCCAGCTGTACCTGCTCTGCAGTAACTCCATAACTGGGATGGCTAGAGTGAATTGGGTTAGGAAACAAAAACAAGGAAATCTGTTATACCCTAAAAAGGAAAAATGGCCATCCCAAGGTGACAGTGGGATCCTGCAACACAAAAACAAACTGTTATGCAGTCATGTTATGTCAAAAGTCCTTTAAAAATGTTCATGGGGACAGCTTTCAAAAAAGATGGTCCCTGACTAGCAGTGTAATGACACCTGGGAACTTGTTAGAAATTCAAATTCTTAGTCCCCATCTCCCAGACCTACTGACTGAAAATTTCTGGGGTGGGGCCCAGCCACCTGAATTTTACCCAGGTGATTCTGATGCCTGGTCAAGTTTGAGATCCATTTGTGTTTGGGATTAGTGCCACTGGCAGTACCTCTCTCTAAGGTTATACAATGCCATGTGGGTCCCTGAGCCAGAGAGAGCAGATCCCCAGGAGCAGATGGCTCAGGTGACTCATCTGTGAGACTGGAGATGAAATATTAATGGCCAGAGGAACTGCCTCCATCTTCCTCATGATACCTTTCTGCTAAACGACAAATTCTGGGAAACCTTAGCATCAGTGCTCAGAGGACATATTCAGGGTTCTATTTGAGGTCTGTTCTTCCCAGATGGGTCTAGAGATGCTGCAGGGTGGCCCAGGTCCATGTACTTCCCTGTACTCTCCAGCGCTTGCATACCTTCTTGGTAAAGTCCACAACAGTATCCCCTGAGTCCTGCAAGGGAATGAGGCACAAGTTAATTCATCAGGTTGTCCTGCTGTGATCCTGACCTTCCCTGGTTCTAAGCAGTCAGAAGACATTCTAAGGCAGTCAAAACACAATTGTAGGGAATGGGTCACTGGGGCCAATCAGAAGTTCCTGCTAGGGAAAGCAATCTTGTTTGCTTGATTTGAGTTACTGTTTGTGTTTGGATATGTTTAATTTGCTTGCACCTCTTAACAGCCTGAAATTTGAAATGCATCCTAGACTGGGCGGTGGGGTCCCTTCCTTGGCCATTCAAGCCATTGTATAGGGTTACAGAGAGGGAGGTCAAGGTCAAAGGACCTGCAGTTCTGCCCACAGCTGCCTCCCAAGGTGGAGACGGAGAATCAAAGAAAGAATCAAAATGAACTTCAATTCAATGACACACATTTACCACATATTACATGAACGTTAGCGGCATAAATCTATGGTGGAAAGAAAACAGCACATACCCCCTGCAGGAATCTTTTCATCCTCCTGTTGGCGAGCTTGGCAGCCAGGCGCATTAAGGGGTGCACGGGAGGAAACTGCAACAGAGAGGCAATGACCAAGGGTCAGACAGGAGCTGTGACATCCTCACTGCCAGAGGAATATTTTGAGAGCCTGGGGCTATACACATTCCTTTTGACTCACTTCCCTTACAAATGGGTTTAATTTTCAGAGCAAAATCCATTTCTGAGTCTAAGCTTGAAATTTTATGTTTTCAATAAAGGACCGCTTGCTTTGATAGTGCAATTCCAACTCATCACTTAGAAATATTCCCTGGGGGTAAAGCAAGCTTTTATCAGCATTAACCCCAAGCACTCTGTCCTCTTACAGCAAAGTGGGTTGACTCAAAAAAGCATCTCTGCACAGATTCCTTCCTTCTCCCCAGGTGTGCTCTCGGATTATAGGGACAGGGTACCAGGGCAATTTACAAAAGGCTTCCTCTGGTGTGGCCATATGGTCCTACACATCTTGTCTGTGACTGCTCATACATTTTCAAGTAAATGCCTGTCTTTGTCTAGAACTCATGTATCCCTCCTCTCCTACCCCCCTATGCAACAATTTGGTTTAGATTAAGACTGCCTGTGATCTCCCCCCTTCCCTTGCTCTTTCTCCCTTTGTTGATAATATCTCTTTCCTTAGCTGATCCCCATTCTTACACCTATAATACTGATAAGTCTTTGTCTCTTAGGGGAAACAATTATTTTACTGGGTATTTGCTTTTTTAAAGAATCCTTTTGAAGACTTGGAAAGACTTAAATATGTAAGTAAACAACTTTGTTATGGTAGACTTTCAGTTTTTGGGACAGGGCACCTGAACTAACAGTTATAGTCTATATGACCTTCCCTTTTTTCCTCAAATCATACCCCACAGAAATCTAATTCTCCTGGGTAATTCAAATTTACAATAAGAAAATTGACCAGGTATGGTAGTAACAATCTGTAATCCCAGCACTTGCGAGGCAGAGTCAGGAGAATCTTAAGTTTGAGGCCAGCATGGACTACAGAATGATTTCAAGTCTAGCTAGAGCTACATAGTGTGACCAGTAGAAAACAAGGGCTGGGAATGTAACTCAATGGTAGAGTGCTAGCTTAGCATATGCAAGGCCCTGGGTTCAATCCCCAGCAACGCGCGCATGCGCGCGCACGCACACACACACACACACACACACACACACGAGTAGACTTCTTATTCCCATTGTACATATGCACCCTGACAGCCACAGAAGGTACACGCCAGGGATCACTGTCAGGGACAATACTTTTCATGTCACAAAGCATTTTTCCAAATTTAAAAATAGAAGATAATTAGGAACAATGGAAATAAGACACAATATTTTCCAGACTTTTCTTGTACATCTGTTTAAGTGCATGACCAAAAAAAGTTATTATATTTTTTAACTTATTATTCCTTTTCTGTGGTTTATTCTCTAATGTTTCAGATCTGCCTGCTACCCACCACCACCATCCCAGAGGGGAAGAGACAATCCCTGCCACCTAGGGGAAGACACCAAGGAAGCTCCCACCTACAGGCCACCTGAAGGCTCCTGCTTTCCTGCTTGTCCAAAAATATCTATTAATTCAGAAGGACTGAAAAGCATGCAGGGGACATCACTTTTACAGAAAGATGATGTAAAATACTGACCCCAGTTTTAACTGGATGTGCTGGCTCCTGAGTTCTGGAGTAGTGGAATAAAAACTAAGAAAGAAAAGACAGTGATGTTAAGACTAAGTGTCACTCTAAACGTGGAAGCTGCATGCTGCTTGTCACAGGGCTGGACGGTACTCACCCTTTTGTATATGTCTTGATTGTCCTGGAAAGAGAATTGTGAGGGTAAATTATAAGGAACTTTACTGTGGCAGGCGGCTGATGGGGTTTTCAGTGTAAGGCACAGCATAGACCTTGCTGGATTTACTCAAATATTCTCAAATGAATTGTCAATCTAAAAAGCAATTCCTCCATTGCACAAAGTTAATAAGAGTATATAGTTGGTGTGGAATTTTATGATAAAGAAAGTTGTTCATAAAACCACCATCATTAAAACCTAATCTCTTTTCATCTTTTTGGTCTTTGGGCAAAAGAAACCCATTTTGTATTCTACCCAAGTCCCAGATAACCTTCTGCCTGTGAGATGGAATAAAATAAGTATTCCAGCCTTTCATTAGCTGCAGGCAGTATCCTAATATTTAGTTTTTTAGGTTTGGTTCAAATTAATCAAGCCTTTTTTTCTTCCAAAAGCTTTCTACAAGAATTTGCACTCTTCTTGCAAAAAGGTTAACTTTTCATTAGTGCACAGCCCTGTCCCGTTTACATGGATGACAGCTGAACTTGCAACATGTCTGATTAATGATATGCTGGGAAGAAGGTGTCTCACAAAATGAAAATAGTCTAAGTTTTCATGTCCATACTTATAAAATTGCTAAAAATGATTACTGCAAGCCATCTTTTAAACCACATCAATTCAGACAGTGTTGATCTTTCATATCTCATTCACATTTAAATATTCTGGAATCAGCCCATGCCTCAATAAATACAGAAATTAAAGTTGCTGATAATACTTCCAATTTTCTTGTTATGAATACAATCCCATCTTCCTGCAAACTTTGTGGAGAGATTCTTTAGGCAATACCAATGCATTCTCTCTCTCCTCCCTGCTATCCTGTTATGCACATATGCATGCATGCACACACACATGGGTGTACATGAGTGCTCACACACACACACACACACACACACACACACACACACACTATAATTAACCAACATCACTAACAGCAGAGGCTCTACAGAAATTGACTGTTTCCTTGTACTCACCATTTCTAAACTGGCATGAAATATTTACTATTTGTTCAGCTCCTGGTCTTTGTGTCAGCTTCTGTTCACAGTAGTGTGTGTGTGTGTGTGTGTGTGTGTGTGTGTGTGTATACATGTGTGTGCACACTCATTCATGGACTTTATTAGACAAAATTTTGGGGGTTTGAACCATTTCATCAGCTTTATGCTGCTACTTTTACTTTTTGGGCCAAAGGATACTAAGGAACACCGACATGCTTTTTCTGGTGCTAATCTGTCCTTTCACACTTCTTGCTTGTTCTTTTCTTTTCAGAGGAAAAAAAAACAAGTATAAAATTTTACTCATCTGTCATTTCATTCATTTCCTCCCACTAGAATATAGAAGAGGTGATTTTGTTTGGGTCACTAGTATATCCCCAACATCTGGCATGGCATGTAGCATGCTTGCATTAAGTATATTTTTATTTTTTGAATGAATGTACAAATAGGTCTCTATTCACAAGAACCACTTGCCCTCTTGCCCATCCAAACTTCTGGTCTCATATGGTGACTGTAAAAACAAAACATGTAGAGTTTCTTTAGAAAACATTATTTGCAAAATATAATCACTTTCTGAATTGCCTCATGATAAAAGTTCTCTGTAGTCACAGACCTGATCTCTTCTACAGAACAGAACAGAAAGGGACTTACAGTTCAGGTAGCTCATTCCAATATTGGGCAGTTGCAGGAACCAAAGCCCCAAGAGAGGAAGTGATATGCCAAAGGTTACCTTTGGGGACAGCACTTTGGAGACAAGGCCAGGAAGAGCCATGGTCTCTCTATTCATAGTGTGAAAATATTAGTACTTTTGTTCAACCTCTTGCTCTCTTACAATTGAAAATAATGAATGGGATAGGCTTGGGAAAATGGAGACAGTGGGAAGAATTTCATTCCAAGTGGGCTCTGGCACTTGGGAACCCCACAACTGAATTTAATACTGCAGGTAGCACACAGCAGTCACACTTCCACTACCTCTGCTTATGCAGAAGACAAACTCACAGCCTTCGTGAGGAGAATAAGGAAGCTACTGTGATGCAAGATGGGAGGCAGTGGCAAAGAGATGGAGAACTCTGAGTTCTCACCTTGAATTTTTGCTCCAGGTTCCAAGATTAAAATGATTATTATGAGAATGTCTCCAAGGATATGTAATGGTAAACTGAGAACAAGAAGAAACAGGCATGACATATTTATGAAGTTTGACACAGAAAGTGGTGTTTGAGTTTTGAAGAATGAGAAGGAGTTACATTAACAAGCACTTAATGGCTGCCATTTTCCCTGTTTTGGACACTGTTGAAAATACTTCACAAATATTAAAGCAATCAATGCTCACCATAACACTATGAGCTGGTTTACTCATTATACTCATTTTACAGATGAGGAAACTGAGGCACATAGCAATTAAGAAACTGCCACAGTTGAATACTACTGGGCTTTGAGCCCGGGGAGTTTGGTTTTAGAGTCTGAGCAACCTGTAATGGATACAAAGACATTTCTGACTAAGGAAAAGGCTGTATAAAGACCTGATGGATTTGAGGATAGCAAGATGTTCCATCTGCCTGGCATGGTATACTGTGGATTGCGGAGATGAGGGGGCAAGAGGAGATGTAGTTCAAGGTGAAAACAGATAGATTAGGTTAAGAATCACCCTATCCTGAGATCACCCTTTTGCACTTTTGATTGAACCAACATTTACATTGTATTCTTTGATTTATTTCTACTTTTGGTTAGTATAGTTACTGTTAGGTTCTTTACATGAGATCTATTGTTTTGGAGAACTGCTATATCACAGGATATCAATTTATAATACATAACATGATATATCATTACATACATAATTAATTTTCTTATGTATATGTTATGATAATTTTAAGAATATGCAAAAATTACTAATATTTATAATAATTTATATTTAAGAGTAAAACTTGATATTTCCTAAAACTATTCTTATAAACATGCACACACACACACATACAAACACACACACTTACACATACACAACATTCTTCTGCAGATAGCAAGAGTACATTTATGAAAAATGCAAGCTATGGTGTAAACATATGCACTGTTATAACTACAAGAACTCTCATATGTATATTCATTTTTTTACCTTAGGTTGGTTAGAAAGAGTTGCCTGCTGATTCAGATAATATGCCAGCTGCTAATAAACAAAAGGAGGAAAATTAATCAAAGATAAGAATAAATCCTTTAGTCAGTAGACTTCTATTACAACATACTTAAAATTCTAAAATTGTTGCATTTATGAACCCTGAATTATTTTCTCATAATGCAGTAGATTTCAATACAAGTCTCTGATGTCTTAAATGAGGCTATGAAATGCCAACAGTGAGTTTCCACTGCAGTAAAACATCTGATCTTAAAATAGCTTTAGGTGAACATTATCCACATGATATTTTTGAGACCAGACTAAATAAAAATCTCACAGTACTGAACAAGAGCAAACCTGAAGCCGCACAATATCCAAACCATCTGGAGGATTCACTAAGGGTTGACAAAACCCTATGGTGAGAAATCATAAAAACATCAATTAGAGAAAAGAGGTCATTAGCATTAACTTCTGTATCTTTACCACAAAAACATACAGAGAGTCTATAAGAACAACAACCCATCGAAGAACTGCACAAAAGTAGTCAATGGGAAGGTAAGATATGATCCTATTCTGTTAAAAGGATTTCCAAAGAAAACACACTTCTCCCTACCACTAACAAATATGAGGTTTGTACCAAATTTTATTTATAGAAGAATTGGTTTTGAAATTTTAACAGGATTTTCCAGCCCATGTGTTAGCAAATAAGGAAAGAGGGGAAAATACCTAGGTAATAACCTGGTTATATTTTCATGGAATTTATGAGGATGGAATATCAGAAAATGGTGCTAACAAAGTATGTATATCTGAATCACCCTTTGAACTTCAAATACATGCAGATACCTGTCTCTGCCCCATTAGACTCCCGAGGGCTGAGGTTCTGGGGAGAGTTGCTGCTAGCATGCAGCTGAATCCTGGCAACTCTTTTCCGACTTAAATGACCATATCTTCTCATGTACATGTGATATAATACTTACGGGAATGGCTAATACTTCATTTGAAAGAATCAACTGGATAAGTCAAAACTAACAAGATGAAAATAAATTAATAAATATAAACTTTTGGACTTCAATGCTTTAAAATGTGGGAGAGAGAATATATGGCCCAAGAGGAGTTTATCTAAAAAAAAAAAAAAGACTGCATGGTATTTTGTTACATATAATCTTCTGTCCCTATGATTCAAGAGAAAACTAAGGCAATGTTTATGGTATATTCAAGAAATAGTGTTCAATCCTTGAAAAGTAATAGTCTGACTTGAAATTTTAGGATATGAAGCAGAGTTAAAGTAACTGAGCTTAGTTTTCTCTGGCAAGAGAAAAATTAGGAAGTCTATGTTAACTGCCATAAATAAAAAATATTAGTCTTGTTCTGTGTATCCCCCCAAAACATGACTAGAGCTCAGGTTAGAAGTCAGATGTGATCATATTTCAGCTTACTGTAAGGAAGTTTTCCATGATTACAATAACTCAATAATGTAAAATAAGGCAAACCCAACCCATAAGGATTTATTGCATTAGTATAAAGACAACTCTAACCCCAGGGAACATAAAATGGAATAGACAAAAAAGGAGGTAGTTATAAATATATAGACAATTAAATAAAGGTAATAACAAATTCCCAAACTTGAGGTAGAAACAGTATTCTACTGGAACCCATAAGAGGCAACAGCTGGCTGTGTTGGGTGTAGAGTGAGTTGTAGGTCACAGAAAGTGTCAAGTCTAATCTAAAGTCCTTCTGCTGGGAAAGCAAGAGGGAAGCCTGCACCCTGTGAGGTTAAACCACTTGATCTCCACGCTTCCTTACAGTGCCCACATTTTGTAATTGCATCTTCGGACATGACAAAATAAACACGTTGTTTGGAGTGTATTTTCTCATTGAATATATTTACAAAGATTTCTTACTCCTCTAAATCAAATTCTAATGGAAAAATCTGAAATTTGAAATAGTCCACATTTCCAGCTTTTCTGCCACGGTGCACTTCCCTGCATCCTATGGCAAATTACTTGGACAGGATGACAATGGATTTAGACTGCAAACCCTCACCCAATCCCTAGTTTCCTACAAAGTCTCTGTTTCTCAGAAGTTGGTGAAGCAAGGCCAGTACCAGGTCAGCACCTCGGACAGCTCCCGAAGCTCAGGAGATGACCCTTTGAACTCCCTGAGATCTGCCCTCCCAAAGCCCACCAGAAAGGCTTTGAAAACAGTTCTTTTCCTTCAGCTGCCCACCATTTCCCATTCTCTGGGGCAATAAATTCAGTTTTACCACCTCTTGTCTCTTCAAAATGGAGGGAGCACAAACAGCTAAGTGGTGATTTCTCCCACGCACATGGAGGCCAGGTCTCACCCATCAAAATTTCAGCAGCACATATTCAAGATACCCCTAAGGCAAGAGCCTTTTAAAGACAGTCCCACTAGGAAAAGTCTCCTTTAGTCAAAGGCTGTGGCATCTCACTGTGCACAATCATTCCTTAAAGAGCTGGAAACAAACTCAGAGCCAGAAAGCAAGAGCGTAAGTGATGGGGTAGGTGAAGGAATAAAGCCTGACTCCCTCCAGACCTACTCTGAGAGAGCAAGGTCATCTCAGTCTTCCTTAGAGCTCAGGCCAGGTGATGAAGTTTCCCTTACCTGAGGAGGGAATCTGGAACATACAGAAGCAGTAGATGGCCAAGATGGAAGGAACTGGGGAAGAGGGTGTTTCATCTTCAGAGTCTGGTTTCTCTTTGCTGGCCACAGATGTGCCCTGATAGGACAGGGGTTTAGCATCTCCCTAGGTTCCACAGAAAGCAGCAACCCTCTGATCAGCCCAATCCAGTAGGCGCCTTTATTTGCAGTGTCCTGGAGCCCATTGGCTGAGCACCAATCAGCTTTGCGCAGGAGGACCCTGGCTTTCTCATAAATGTCATGCTGGGCCCTTATTTGTAGAATAATATCCTCCTGATGTAAGCATTGTAGAGAGTCATCCTTTTCAACCCAGCAATAAAAATATAAAATGGAGAGTCATAATTGTTATTCTATAATGGCTTGAGAAACACTTCTGAGTCAGGAAAGCCCTTTCCTCCTTTTTTAAATCAAAGAATTGGACATAAATCCATGAACTCTTGCATGGTGAAGACTTGCTTCCTAAGAAGCTATCTATTTTCCACTAGTAACAAAGGATGTTCTGTAGTCTGTGGTGCATCTAAGAAGAACAAAATTTGAAGTCCTGGATATTACATCATAAGAAACTAAAAGATAATTAGAGCTCAGTTTTTTTAAAGCATGGGGGAAAATTGGCCTCTTTAACGTTTTTCCAGATTTATTTCTATTTCAAGTTAAATAATTCAATTTAAGCCACTATTCAAGAAAGCATGACAATATTGTAGGTACATCATAACAAACATAAATAACAAAGTGGCAGACTAGAATGGCTCAAGAGGTAGAGCACCTGCCTAACAAGCATGAGGCCCTGAGTTCAAACCCCAGTACTGTCAAAAAAAAAAAAAGATTCCATCTACCGGTCTTCTACATGTTGGGATCTGTTTCAGTCATTTCACATAGGTTAGTTCATGCAAGTCTCATGGAAAACGCATAATACATGTGTTATTATTTTAATTTTATGAAGAGGAAAATGAAGATAGACAACATTAAGAATTTACCCAAGGTCACTTATCCATCAAGGGTAAAGGCAGGAATTTGAACCAAGGATATCTGAGTTCAGTCATATCTGCAGACATATAGGATTTTGGCTTAGGAATTATATTTTTCTAAAAAGAGCTTCATTATTAGCAGGATAAAAATAATGAGAAAGTTTGAAGCTTTCTATTTCTTGACAAAAGGGTAACACACACACCACACGTAAAGTAAATACCTCAGGATTTTCCCCATTATGCATATCTTTAATTTTTGCCCTTTTAAAAGTTAGGATAATTAACAATGGTTGAATTCTTATAGTGTGCCTCAGACATGAGGTTCTTAAAAAAAAGATTATCACTTTTAAAATTGACTTAATTCACTTAAATCATATTATATAATTTTTACAAACATTAGAAACACTCAACATACACATAATGACAAAGGCTTGTGGCAGTTCTATTAAGTGTCAATCAATGAGTACTTCAGGAACATTTGTTCTATGTCTACCAGCAAGTCAGTATATATGAGGTACATACAAAAATACACATTTTTCAAATAACTCTCTGTGATAAATTTGATTTGTATCAAATTTATGGCTCCTTTGCATGTTTGGTTCACATTACTTTTCAGATATTCAGGACAAAAAGTAAAAGTATTATTTTTAATGCCAATTTAGAGATGGAAAAAGGAAAAGTATAAGAAAAACTTCTGCCTTATTACTATTCAACAGCACTGTTATGGATGTAATATGGCCTTCCCCTCCCAGATTCATATGTTGAAGCTCTGTATGGGACTGTATGGGCAGATAGAGCTTTCAAAGAAGTAATTAAGTTTAAATGAGGTAGCAAGAGTGGGTCTTAATCAAGCCAGATTTATGTCCTTATAAGAAGAGGAAGAGACACAGTCCACCTGTGCACAGAGGAAAGGCTATGACAGGACACAGTGTGAAAGCAGACCCTCTGTCTGCAAGCCAAGGAGAGGGTTCTCACAATAGATCAACCTTCCAGCACCTTGATCTCAGACTTGCAGCCTCAGAGCTGTGAGAAAAATTCAGTTCTGCTGTTCAACCTGCCCAGTAGGTGGTATTTTGTTATGGCAGTCCAAATAGAAGAATGCAAGCATAAGGGGATTTTTACTCAATACAATACAAAAATAAAATGAAATCATATAAAGTAAAAGTTGCAAACTCTTGCTGTTTTCAAATTACATGATTATCCCAGACAATCTGCCAAAAAATCCAAAGGAATCAACTGACAAGTTACTAGAAGTTTAACAATGAGGTCAAATTTAAGAAAACTATTTTCAGGAGTAATTTTCTTAGACCAGAGTGAAAACAAATTTTAAAATATATTGGAAAATATAAATAGCTTCAAAACTATAAAATATCAAGAACTAAAGAGAACAGTAAGTGTACAGTACATTTTTAAAACTACAAGACTTTAATGACAAACATAAAGGAAATTATGAACAAATGAAAAATTATTTATTACTTGAAAGATTCAGTGTTGTGAAAGGTTCAATTAGTAGCAAGTTAACCTATAAAGTTGGTATAATTTTAATTAAAATTGAAAATTATTTTTTCCACAGAATTTTAAAACTGAATCTTAAATTAATTCAGGAAAGAAAATACTCCACAAATTTTTGGAAAACAAAAACCCAACACTTTGCCAATGTTAAGATATATAATAAAGCAGTAATAATTGTGGTATCGTGGTAGTGTTGGAAGAATCTCTGAATGAGACCCAGAAGTCAAACAACAAGGCAAACAGTTTTACCTCTGCAGAAGGGTGTGCAGTCCACAAAGGTCTGGTAAGCAAGCATACTGAGTGGGAAGTCTGCTTGGGTTTTTAATCCCTGATGCAACACTGTCCCCGTCTTCGATTGGTATAAGTCAGGGTTCACAGTATTTCTTGATTAACTATAGATGAGATAAAGGACAAGGTTAACATTTAACATTCCAGAAACCGCAAGTTAAGCGAGCATAATGGGCAGCTGCTTTAAAGTGGATTCAACCTGAGTTGAGTATATAATTCTATTTCTTTGAAGGAAAAGGTAAGTTATCCTCCACAGTAGCAATTTTGTTATTGAGTCAGTAATGGGCAAATAGATTGATAAAATGGAATACAGAGTCTTTTTTATTTTTATTTTTTAATTACTGGGAATACATTGTGACATTTACAAAAATTCTTACAATATATCATCATTGAATTCACCCCCTCCATCATTCTCCTTTATCCCACCTCCTCCCATTCCTGGAACAGTTTCAACAGGTCTCATTTTTCCATTTACATACATGAATACATAATACTTTTACCATATTAACCCTCCTACACCCTTTCCTTATATCCTCCCCTCTCCTAGTGGTACCAACTCCCCAGACAGAATCTGTTTTGCCTTCCTGGAATACAGAGTCTTAAAGCAGATTAGTTTAATATGGAATAAAGGTGGGATTTCAAATATGTGAAAATGGTGAACTGCTCAATTAATGGTGTTCTACACAATAGACTAATCATTTGGTAAAAAAAAATCCTTATTTCACACTTTAAATTAGAATAAATTCTAGAGTATTAGTAAACTAAACCTAATAAACACACAAATATTTAAAATTTTTTTTATATTTTAGGCTGTTTTGATATCAAAAACCTTTCTGGGGACTGGGGATGTAGCTCAGTGGTAGAGGCATGTGTGAGACCCTGGATTCAACTCCCAGTATCAAGAGGGAAAAAAAAAGGCAAAATTAGCAACAAAAGACCACCCTTCCCAAGCTTGCTAATTCTTAGAGCTAGCAAGGACTCAGCCAGGAACATACCTGCTATAGTTTTGATCTGAAGTGTCTCTTCTCCCAAAGACCCATATGTTTAAGGCTTGGTCACCAGCCTGTGGGGCTACTGGAGGATGGTAGAATCTTTCAGAGGCTAGGTCACTGGGAGCATGCCCTTGAAGGGGATATTAAGACTCCAGCTGCTTCCTCTTTCTCTCTTTTCTTTAGGGCCAATATGAGGTAAATAGATTCCCTCTACCACGTGCTTCAGCAATGATTTGACCAGTCATGCCACGGGCCACAAAGCCACACCCAGGTGATCACCAACTGTAATCTCTGAAATTGTAAGCCAAAACAAATTTTTCCTCCTTTTAAGTTGGTTAGCTCACGTATGTGTCACAGCAGTGGAAAGCTGCCTAACCTACACCCTTCACATGCAAGCTAACAACCAAAGTCATAACTCTTCTATTTGGTCTTTGTACCTCAAGAAGCAATATTCCTCCACCTTAATCATTCCGGGGAAAGGAACCAAGCAACTGAAAAATATCCCTATACCCAAAATCTGAGAAATTATCCAAACCTGCTAATCCTAAACCTTCACCAGTTCTACCTTGCCTTTATCTTGGAAACCCCAATAAAGGCACTGTCTTCAACCTTCCATTCACATCTGTTTTCTGCCTCAGGATTGCACTGGTATCGTCCCCATTTGGCCCTTTGTGTTGTGGCGTGCCTTCTCTATGACCTATAAGCATACATGCTCCTTGACTTATGATGGGATTACATCCCCCAAACCCTTATGAGTTAAAAATCTCTTAAGTCAAAAATGTACTTTAGACAGGCACTGGTGGCTCATTCCTGGAATCCTAGCTACTTGGGAGGCTGACACAAGGAAGATCATGGTTAAAGGCCAGCCTGGGCATATAATTCATGAGACCCCATCTCCAAAATAACCAGAGCAAAATGAACCAGAAATATAACTCAAACAGTAGAGTGCCTGCTTTGCAAGAGAAGGCCCTGAATTCAAACCCCAGTCCCACTTTTAAAAAATGCATTTAATACATCTAACTTACCAATCACTCTAGTTTTACAAAGCAGCACACTGTAGAGTGTGGTTGTCTCCCCTCCTGATCACAAGGTTGACAGGAAGCTGTGGCCCACTGCCACTGTTTAACACTGCAAGAGAGTGATACAATTCCTCTTTTGCAACTACATATTGCCAGTTCAGGGAAAGATCAGAATTCAAAATTTGAAAGATGCTTTCAACCGGATATGTATTGCTTTCACACCACCATAAAGTCAGAAAATTATAGGTCAAGTCATCTGGAGTCCAGTACCATCTGTGTAATAAACTTTGTTTTTTCCTGCACTTCTCCTGTGTGTCTTACTGTGGCCAG